AGTGAACCTTTAGATTGAAATAGAATGTAGGAAGTTTAAGAGATGGTGAAGTTCTTGACAAATGAGTCCAGAAGTTGTCCCGATAAGGTTTTTATATATGTTATGGTCAACTGGCAACTCAAACTGTTACAAAGTAATTACTGAAAGAGACAACTGTTTTCATTGTCTTATGAGAACATATTTATATTTTTAAAATGTTCTATAATTTAGTGTTTTATTTTGAAAATTGATATTTCAAATGATGCACTTTTCTTATTCTAAGTTATGTTTTGGTTGGTATGGGACTGGATTATCCAATGAATGGTATAAATACAACTGAAGTGGAGAGAGGTAGAGACTGTACGTGTGTCAGTTAGGAGACGGTGTTCATTTCACATTGACTGACAAAATGTGCTGTCTCAACTTGCCTTGCCGAGGAGGTTCCAGGTCAATTTCAAAACTTGCTGCCAGAATTACAATGTTTTAGTAACTATTAAATGGAACCTTATTATCAAGTTTTATGTTCAGAGCATTCTGTTACACATTTTGGCCTTTGTTTGGCAGATGTCATCATGCGGCATATGCACCATATGGAATTGCCCAAAAATTTTGCCCGCAAGGGGTACCTTGGGGGAGTAGTCCAGACCCCCCTCCCCCCCCCCTTAATGTTAAAATATACAATTTAAAAGACCTGATACAGTTGACACTTGTTCTCCCCTCCCCCCTTTAGAAATTATTTAGTAAGTTTAATTGCTCAGTTTGTTTAAAGACCTTGAAAGATTACATGAGATTAGAGATTGGAGCAAAATCAGTGTAATAGTGTTCTCCATTGAAGATGCAAGACGTGTGTTCCTCAGAATTTTATAATTAAGTAGTCATAAAATATACCTTTTTCAACTGCTTTGAACAATTCAAGGTAAAGAAGTCAAATAGTTTGGCCACTATGGTTTATTTACTGATGATGATTACATTGGAATTGACACTTGAGGTAATCGATATACATGTTAAATACCCTTCTGGTAATGTAATAAATGACTTTCATCTTGTTATCATTATCACCACCATCGATTTCTTAGCTGGAAATTCAAATTAAACACCCATCTGTTATAAATGATGTGTTGAAAATGAGCATTATCCCTGAATATTTTTACATATTTTGGGTGTAAGCTAAAAGCAGTACCCATACTTACACACGTATGCCTACAGTTTGATGTCAGTTCATTCTGATACCAGCAAGTGCAACACAATAAGGTTTGTCTGCTTCTGCACAGTAAACCATAATTACATTTGAAATCAAAATTTCATGTCTAAACAAAAAAAGATCTTTTAAATTATAGAAACCCTTTTCAGAGTCCTACAAAAAGGAAAAAATCTCAATCTAACATTTATGATCTGTGTTACTATAACTTCCAATTAAATCGTCACACGATGCAGGTGATTGGCAGTGAAACACACTAACATGAACACAAAAGCAATATTTTAATCATATTATATACACTGAAATAGTACAAAAAAAAACTTAAATGCCATTTAGTGTTACAAATGTAAATGCATCTGAATGGAATTACAATTATGATCAAGTGCGCTTATAAGATATAATCAGTGGGTAGTTGTTAAATACGTTTTTGATCAATGACTATTGAAATGACAGTATGTTTGAATCTCACCAGACAACTAGCTCATCTCTTCACAAGCTACTTATTTCAGCTTTTGTCAATAGGATGACCAATTCTTAGGTGCCTGCATGGATATATACTGCTACCACTCATTTTGTGACACTGCCTTCTACCATCACCATCTAATAAGGAGGCTTGCAATTACGGTAATGACTCAATCTTTTCAATGGGAAAAAGTGAATATTACAGGTAATATATTTTTAAGTCAAAAGTTCTTTAAATCAGAACACTCTTCTTAAGTGCAGCAAAAATAGGAAAGCAGGTTACCCTACAGTTCTATTCTATGCAGTAAAAAACCACATGCTTTGTAAAAATTTTATTTGATTCTGAAATTATGTCTGAAAGACTGATCACTTTTGTCTATTGAAAAGATCCAAGTCATTATGATACATGCACATTATTTTACGAATACAACAGAAATTACACTAAATTGTATTAATTCCCTGTTGTAATATTCAAACTTAACAAAACTCAAGTCGGTGACTACTTAAATTTGGGGAATCAAATTATCATAACAATCAAATTATCATAACAATCAAATTATCCTTTAAGTAACACAATGTTTTTTCCATCTCAATCTGTATTACAATTATTGCTGCTGATTGACGACAAGAGATAATTCATGTATATAATTAGCTACTGAAGAAAATTTCTAAAGGTCACTTCTTAACAATTTTGTTTCAACAAGCATGTCTCCTCACATATGAAACCATTTCAAAATCTCTCTCTTAACAATCGAATTCTTCTGCAAGCAACAAAGAAAACCACCCTGACTTAGGAAGTTCTTTCATTGCCTACTTGCAAAGGCTGCTAAATGAGAAGTGTGCCACAGAAAGTCTCCTTAAGTCATGGCAGTTAACCAGCATAGGCTAAATACAAGTCAGTTCAGTCAATAGACTATACCAAGTGCACGTTGAGGTCCAGACAGGTCACAGACTACTGCCCCGTTTGCCCATCAGTCTTGGGTGGGCTTGTACTCAGAGATCCTGTGCGAATTTTGGGCATGTCAGCCTCCTCCATGGACACCGACCTGGTGCGGACCCCCTTCCCAATTTTTGGCATTCCGATGGAACTCACTGAAATTATGAGAACATTTTCTAGTCATTCTGCACTTGCAATGCATATTCAATCTGACACACACTTTACAAAAGTACTGTACAGTTACCTTATCATTGGAAATCGTGCTCTGATCAGGATGGTAATGTTCTTACACACTACAATTCTAATTGTTATGATGTACATGATGGTTTTGAATTGTACAGATAGTTTAGGTGTAATGTTTACTGTGAAAGTCTAGTTAGTGAGATGAATAAATTTTTCTACATCGAACTTTTTCCCCTCATACAAACATGTCCACCCACACCTTCCATAACCCCATCTTCTTCTTTTGACAGAAATTCATCTGTATAGTCTTTTGATTATGTTATATGCTTACACATTTCAATTTTCTACACTAACTTGAGCTGTACCTAACAAACCCAGCAGGCAAACGACATTGATTCTACGTTGATTCAACGGTGAATCAATGTCATTTGTCTGCTGGGAAAGCCTTTGATCACCACTGTGACCTTCCTTGGTGTGTGTCAACTACCAGACTTGGCACCGAATGATCCCAAATTCACTTGTGGATCAGACCACACTACCCGTTTTCAAGGTGTGCGTTAGTATGCATTTCATAGTATCATACCCCGGAACAAATTTTGAGATGAGATGCATTACTTTCCAATCCCGCTGAGAATCATCACTATCACATCATGTACTAGGCAAGACAGTGTCCTGTCTGATACTTCGAAGAGCGTACTGATATACACCTTGAAAATGCGTAGTGTGGTCCAATCTACTGGTGAATTAAGGATCATTTGGTGCCAAGTCTGGTAGTTGGGTAGACCTATGTGTTACTATGAGACAGCTGAGCACTGTTCACTAGTGTCTCAGTAAGAGGGTTACAGTACTGATCGAAAGCTTTGTGAGTACAGCTCATGTAAGTGTAGA